CCAGCACTCCTATGAATGAGCAACATCTTTCCTTAATGAATCTGAATTATTACATGGATGAAAAAGAACCAAATAACCATTTCGTTTCCTCCTAGGAAAAAAAAAACAAAACAAAAAACCACACAAAAACCAAACACACACACAAAAGTTACATATTCGAACAATATTTTCATTAATTCTTAAAATGCACACCTCTTGGGAAAAATAAAACAAGGAGAAGCATGTATTTTCCATCTATGATGGAAAACCAGATTTCCATTGTATTCTGTTTCTCATAGCTACTGTTCTACATAAATGCATCCATTTGCACAACCGATTTTCTGCACCCTACGGAGACAATAAAACAAGCACAGCCTTTCAAATCCACATTTGAAAAATCAAATGGCAAAATATTCGTATCCTGAGGTGGACAAGATTACCTCTCTACTGGTTTATGCAGCAAAAATTAAATATTTATCCTTCTTACCATGAACTCTCCCAAGTCCCTGTAATTGCTCATTGATCCACTACTGCCCATAAACTGAATGTTATTAGAAATGGACAACGTAACAACCACCAAGTCTGGTTCAACATCTGAGATTACAATGATTATGCAACAGCCTGATGAGCATCAATCTAACAATCATAAAGCAGCTATAAACCCACATTTTTACGTGCACTGTAATGTTACTCTTGGTCACCATGAGAAAATTAATAACTAAAGTGTCACAATGCTCAACTAATATGCCTGGATAGTTTATCAGTTGGGCCACTGTGTAATAAAACGCAAGTACCAGACTTTGCTGGAGTTTCCTGGTTTGAGTAAATCCAGCTGCTCCATCAGCTCATTAGCAGAGTACATGCACAGGGAACTCAAAGATGTAGGCTCCTGCTGCTTTTCCAACTTCTCATTTTAAAGTAATTAGTATTCTCAGTGCATGCACATGCATAACTACATTGCAAGAGGGTGGACAGGCTGCCCACTTGATGCAGTGGAAAAACGCACTGCAACTGACCAAATAAAGTTACATCACAATGGATCCAGAGGCAAAAATAAATAAATAAATATACCAATTGCTGTTTGTTATCAACAAAGTCTCGTATTTTATTTCTGCCTGTAAAACACACGGGGGGGGGGGGGGGGGGGGGGAAGGGAGAAGGTGGTAGCACCCTCTACTCCCCACTGAACAAAAATCAGCATTCTCAATGCACGCAATTGACAATGTTTTAGGCCTGTGTCAGATTTATCATCAGAGCTAAGTGATTTCAGGCACAGGCCAGTCTCACGATCCAACATCTTTATGCAGAGGTAGGTGGTGAAAAAGAAAACAAATCTCTGATTAAGAAAAGCATGAGGGGGAGGCACACCATTTACACACTGCACACAGCATTCCCTCTCACAGATATAACAGTGTTTAAAAACATTCTGAAGAGATGCCCCACAATCAGATTTTATAGGATCACTCTGGAAGCCCCCAAATTGGAGATTTTGAATTAGACTGAGGTGGCTCAAAAGGCACACATTTGTCTTCCTCTCAGGGAAGAAAATTCGGTGATGTTTCCTGGCATATTTCCCATATTCTCTTTCCATCTCCATGTATAAAGCCGAAGTGTGCTCTGGGGCTGGGAGGTCTAGAGAGGAAATTGTGGTAGGATATAGGATAACATTTCTAGAGAGCAAAAATATTTATCACAACTAACTAGCTGCATTGCAGCTTGAATGTAACCCTCTGTATGTGTCAGTGAGAATATCTGAGCTCAGCACCTGTCAGAGCAAAGAGATGGGCATTCCTGTTCTCCTGGCATGGAAAAGATACATTGGCAGGGTGGGAGGCAGCTTTTCCTGGCCTGAAGCCCACACTAGAGTCCCAGGAAGAAAAAGGCTGGAAATATTCCTCCTCTGCACTCCCTTACACATGTACAAACAAGTTTTTCTCCAGATCTGGTTTGGTGCTAAGCTAAATTCTATGTTTATATTCATTCTTTTTAACACATTGAAAATAATAAATAGAGCTGTGTTTCATTGACTGACTTCCATCTCCGTCCACATCACAGACCTACTTTCAGCCCACTGAAGCAGAGCACACTGGGAGGGCTGACTCTGTGGACATTGACATTCATCAGCCCAGAGAGCCTGCAGATGCGCAGCTGCAAGCACAGCCACGTAATCGTCATTTACAGATGATTGTATTTTTAGAATCATCTAGTTAAGCCCTATTTTCCTGACTTCAAAGACAGTTTTATGGTAGCTCACCTGTTCCAGCTTCACCTTGTTAATTAGTGACCTCTTCCTTCAAACACAGGCAGGTGCTCCAGCCAGCAACAGGCACCAGGTATTGCCCAGCAACACCTTTCTAACAGGAGCACCACAGCTGCTTTGGGGCAAGTCATAGGATACACGAGAACTGTACCCATCTCCTAAATGCTTTTCACCTGAACATGAATAAATTCATAGTTGCAGGTTTTCTCTTTTCCTTTGTTATTCAACAGAGACTACAAATATAGTATTCAGGAAGCAAATTCCCATTATATTTGGTGCCTATTTCTACTCCATCATCACCTGCACACTACTTTCTACAGCAACTTAGTGTATATTTTTACCTTTCCCCCACATAACTGCAAGAATAGACTACTTACAAACCTCCTATTAACAGACCTTTCTTTCAGATCATTGTCCCTCTGTACTCATTTACCTCGCACTGTATTTATTCACAATACCTTTGCAGCAGAAAAAAACCCTAAATTAAAAACTAACTCAGCTGCAATAAATAACACTGCTGCGTGAATTTGCTTTCTCATTGAACAAAGGAAGCTCAGTGAAGCATTGGCACGTTTCTGCATCAGACTGCAAGTGAGCAACAACTGTTAGAGCTTTATCTTGGTACAATGCTGCTGACTGCTTCAATTAAGCTACTACATTCTTCTTTATTTAGACACCTCCTGCAGCCCCAACCAGTACAGCAGATGAGCACTTTTGACAGTTGGTACTCCTACCTCAACACCCTTTCGCCAGCCTACAGGGAGGTGTATAGTGAGTGGAACACGATTTTCAACCAACTATATATTCCCACTTTTTATACATCCGTGAAAACAACAAGCTTGCCTGAACGTTCATTTCTTTGCCTCAGAAAGCTAACTTGCCACCTACCTTACAGGTAGATTAGTCAATAATGATGCAACATTTGGTGAAGCATACATTAACATAAGTAACAAAAATAATCTAACAGCAATGCTCTGAACTTCACCCCTCTGGGTCCTGCTCAGTAGTCACCTCATCACAGCACTGCAGGTTACTGTTGCACTGGCAGATGTATGTTTAGGTTACCTTTTAATTTACTCCAACATAAAGGTTGCTGACAGATGATCAGCTGCCAAGGTGCAGCCTGCCCCCCTGCACAGACATGATGCAGGAGCCTCTGCTCTCACCCGGCACAGCCGAGGCAGAGGCTCCCAGGCCACGGCCTCACCACTCCTGTGGTGGCTGCCACAAGTCCTCTGCCCAGCTCCTCCACCGGCTGGCCCCAGACATCCAGGCACAAAGCATGCACAAACTGACTGAGACAAAGCATTAAACAACACAGGGCAAGAGATAAACACCCAATTATAGAGCTTTGAGGTGAAGTAGGAGAGATACGGAGCAGACATCAATAACACCACACCCCCAAAGCCAAGTTAAAACACACTTACCGTTTCTGTTGGCCGCCTGCAGCAGACCAGGCCCCACCAGAGCACAGGGTCATTCCCACACAGAATGCAGCACCTACCACACTGCCCAAACCCAGCCCAGGGCTGGGGCTTTCCACACCAGAGGGCCTAGGGGCACCAATGGTGCTAGGAGGGCCTGACTGCCCCAAGGAGCCTCAGCTGTGGCCACCAACCCCACACCTGGGCTGCAGGCAGCACATGCAACCCTGCCCTGGACCCCTCTCACTCTCTACCCCACACAAACCAGCATCCCATACATACAGGCATACAGGTTCTGCCCCAAACAACCAAGTGACTTCTTGAAGTACAAGCACCTCAGGAGTCTTAAGCATCACTTCTACAAAGCACCGGAAAGCAAGCAGTCAGGAGCTCAAGACCAACCCTCTCCTTTTGAGTGAGTGAGCAGCATTTTCTCTCCTCCTTTTCCAGGTGCTTCTTATAGCCTAAGTAAGGGCAACAGACATTTGTAACATCACCCTGCCGCACAGCTGCTGAAATGCACACAGAGCATGGAAATTCAAAGTACAAATCTGTTTTTGCAATACACCTTTATTTTTCTTTTTAACCTTTGCAGTCATCTTGGAGTAATCATCATGTAAACAGTAGGATGGGATGGGATTACATTGAGTCATATGCAAATGGCTCTAGAACAACTTCAATGATTATGACAAGGCATTATAAATAACTTCTCTTAATAATATATTTGCCATTTTCAGTACAATAAAGAGCTGCCGCTTATCTAGGATTAGCTAGGAAGTAGTTTAAATTGTAACCTCTGAGAAACATGTCTCCAAATTTCAAAAGTCTTTCTAAGCTTCACTAGCTTCATAACATCTATGTCACAGGTTAAGCATAAGACTACTTGGGTTAGAAGTGTTTTCTTTGTAACAGAGTTTTACTCGATCATTGCACAAAGCCCTACCATTTTCACTCCACCTTGGTATTTTGCAGAACTTCAAGTAAAGCTTCAGTTCCGTTCTTCAAGTTTTTATCACCTGTATGAAACCAGTTTCTATCATTAAGGGTACATTGGATCAGAGATGGACACAGTAAGTGTTCTACCTTAATGACAACAGTTCAAAGTAGTTCTAGCTCATAGACCCCCCCAATAAAGCATAGTCAAAATACTCTAACACCTTTGCTACTGTATGTCCTCTCCCTGCTCAGATAACTATACTTATATATATTGTACCACATGTATGGTACTTCCAGAAAATGGAGATTATTTATTTAAGCAGCCTCAGGCACATTCTTAAAACATTCTCTGCAAGGCACCTCCCACTCCCCTGACAATCAGTTTGTGGACCGGCTTTCAAACACACAACCAACAAAAGTTTGCTAATGCCTAATTAACTGATTTCAAAAAAACCCCTAGAAGTTACCAAATAGTTCAAAGGTATACCTGAAACTTTTTTAAATAATGGGAGATTAACTGCAAATAGCACATAATCAAGTCAAATCAGTTTCTTATTACTAGGATGTGTAATGCATAAATATATGAAAAATAAAATTCACAGTTTTAAAACTAGAATTCAAGTTTGGCTAGTAATTCTTAACTTTCATATTTATGTTAATTTTTAAATAGAACAGAACAGAGGCAGTATTATCAACCACAAGTATAGGGAAAATAGTATCACTCAAAGTTTATGAAAGAAGTAAGCTTGATAGAAAATTCCTTTTGTAACCAATAAATACAGCCACCTGAGTGCATTTCCACAGGCTTTTCACTTAGGGGGAATCCAAATCAACTGCTGAGAGACATTTAGTAGCATTCTGAATGTTAGCAGCAGCGGTGCAGCTGTGGGCTTTGCTTGTTCTGACTTTGTGAATTGCTAGATAATGAAGCAGAACTCAGTGTGTGGAGCATTAATTTTCCTCTGCATCTAAGCTGGCCTCTTCGCAATCTCACAATTCAGCTTGTGGTCAGGGGACAGACATCAGCTGACACTTAACTGAGCAAACCCAATCAGTTTCACTTCATCAGGAATCTCAGTGCCATCACAGCCAGAAGCCTGCAAGTACAAACAGAAATATTTAGTGTATCACCCTACAAAGAAGGATTTGACAGCCAGGCTATAAATCTTCACTGTATTGATTAGTCAGCACACAGCTTACTTGAAGGAAAGCTTTCAGACTGCTTGGTGTATCCTCCATCAGCATCAGTCAACTGCATCCTTAATTTTAGCAAACTCTTAATATTAAAAATTTGAAAAAAATATTGACAAATGAACACTTAAAGGCCTAAATTCTTTAACCCAAACTTTCCAGACTGAAGCCAAATTTGCTTTTTCTCATGAGTACACTGTTTTCACTCATAAAATGCAAATAATCTACATCTGTATAGAGTCCTTTTACCATAGTGATGTGGACACCAAGTATCTTTTGTGTCCAGCTATCAAGTCTGTCTGGAATACCAACCAACTGAATTTTTAAACAAGAGATTGAAGCAGTCTATAAAAGTAAGTATTTAAGTATTAATATTTTCATCTCCTTTCTGATAGTAGTCTAGTACTTAAAATTGTACAGCTGAGATTCTTCAGTAAAACCCATACAAACTGGCACAAGTAATCAGCTTATTTTTCACAAATAACAGTAAAAGCACCTTGCTCAGGAATTAACTGTTACTGTAAATCTGCTTTAAAAAAAATTACACACACTGTAGGCAAAGTATTTTTATATTTTGAGTTTTAAATACAAAAATTACTTCTCTAGGACAGAATTCACTAGATTTTAAATAAAGGGTGTTTATTATGCATTCTTCACCTGTGTGGTAGATAAATCAAAATAAGAATACAATTGGATGAACAGCATATAATGGTAAATCACTTATGACAGATGCTTTCAGACTCCTTGGCACATCCCCCATGAAAATTCTGAATAACTGGTTCACCCTATAAAAATGCTCTTGATCCTTTTATACACTAGTAGCAGTTGAACCCTTTAGTAGAATTGGTTTGTGTATACTCAATGTAAGGAAAAAAGCTCTCAGACTGTGCACACAAGGTGCACTGAGTGACATTATCCGTTGAGTTTTCATGACCAAAATTAACTCATTTGATATTTGTGGAAGCATTACATCAGGCTAGTCCTTCAAATTTACTTTGATCAGACACAGAGAACAGAGGTTCTCTCTTCAGATAGTATTTTCACAGATCTTATCCACTGAAGCAAAAGTTAAAGGTCTGAGATCATCACCATTGACTACTATTAAGATATCTCAATGGCTTTTGGATTGCGAATTTACTAAATAAAATGTATTTGAATTTTGCCCTTAAGACATCATTCTGCATCTGGCTAGCTATCTATCTCCTCAAAGGTATGCTAAGTAACATACCTTATCAATAAATATTGGCTAGTATTGGCTTGTATTTTGTGTTTAGCATTAAGTACTACTATTATACACTAACTGAACATAAAAGAAAAGCTCTTAGTATTTGCAATTCACTGTTTAGTGACTGAATGCATTATTTCAACTCTGGGTTTTCCTCCCCTTTTCATATGAAAAATCCTTACATAAAATGCAAATTCTGCTGCAAAATAATTGAGCGTTACCAAGATTAGTTGTGTATTAAAGCAGCCTCCTTCCAAAGTGTGGACAGCTGGATCCTGAAGGGAAGTCATCAGTCTCTGTTAGCCAAGACAACTAAGGGAGGTTTAGTACTAGATATTTATTCTGTAGAATGACATCATTGTAAGATGAAATATGCACCATCCAAAAAATATGCAAGAAGGTGATCCAACCTTAAGGACAGATTTATCCAGGCACCTTAAATAACTTTGTTTACTATTCTGGCAATAGTTAAAGACAAAACCCGTTAAGACATAAGGTGTTTTTTTTTTTTCCACAAAGATGAAAACGCTTGCTGTCTGAATACAAATATTATATACCAGCAAAACACCAGCAAAAGCAATCTGCAAGCAGCGAGATACTAACCAGGTTCCTTCTCCACAAATATTAGTAACTAGTCCTAGATCGAAGATGACTTTTCAGTTGAATTCCCTGAATGGATATGGGATTAGGTACATTTTGACTTTGAATCCCCATGAAATATTTACTAACAAAATGTGTCTAATCAAGCTGTATACAAGTGCTCTCAAATTCAGTTAGACCTTGTTAAGAGGAAACAAAAACTCAGTAGGGCATACAAACAAATGACAGAGTTCTCCTAGGCAACAATTAATTTAGCAACTCCACCACACAATATAGAAATGGGCAGAAACGGAACATATATTTAATCCAAGAATAAGCATAAATTAAGATACTTCTTGTGGGTATATTCTTTTCCTTGGAAGTAGGGAACTAAACCAACTAGGTTAAAAATATCAAGAAGAAACTTAAGTTAAAAATTAACCTCAGGAATTGCTACCTAGTCAATAGAACTTGAGAAGAACAAAGACATTGATTCTGGATTGTCTATTAATTCTGATTATGGTAAGGAGTAGGATTATAACAGTGTTCACTCACTGGAATTTGAAATACCATGTGAGGTTAACTGCACCCCACCAACAAATTCAACTGAATCTCAGAAATACCCAAACCTAAATTTTCAAGTGGGTTTGTTTTTAACATATATAAACATTAGCAGGATACTATGGGATATTACATTTTGAAATCTCAAGCCTCTATTTTAAGCATGTGAACTAGAAACCCAGTTTTCTACAGAGCCTCTGGAGTATCTACATATCTAAATGCTCTTGGTGAAATGCCACTGACTACACAACAAAGCTAAGTCAGATGTTTAGACAGCAAGAACACAGATCAGCTGCAAAAAGAGAAGCACCAGCCTTTAAGCTATATTTAGTTAGATTACTTTGTTTCTGCAGCCCTTACCAAGTTCTATGTCCTTATTTCCACACACACACACACACCCTCCCCCCCAACCCTTTCTCAAAAGAAAGATGCAAGTTCTAGTGGTTTTACTGGACTGCAGAAAAACTGAAAAATTAGGGAAAATGAGTCCAAATTATTTGGTGAGTTAAAACTACTCAATTCTATATGGAAAAAATTACATAGGAAGAATAATCCTGAAATCCTGAATCAATACATTATCATCAAGTAGGTCACATACTCTAAAAATGGCTCCCTACAGCCCATCTGAAGCAGCTGATTTTATAAACAACGGTGAGACTCTGGAAACCTGCTTATCTAACAGCCATTCAATCTAGCCTGAGTCACTCTCAGCAAGGGGTGCTGTAAACTAATTGGTAAGAGTTTGGTATTTACATTACTAATCATTCAATAGCTTTAGGTATGTAAATTTTTCAACATAATTTTAGCAAGAAATGAAAACAAATACAGTACAACAATTCTTCATTAAGTTTTAGCAATGAAAATGTATTACTATTAATCTATCAGGATAGCATCAAAATGGGCCAAACTTAGGACTCATAGACCAGGCACACAAAACAGAGCACAGACAACAGTCTCAGGGTCTGCTGTACATACAGAAAAGAGAAAGAGGTAGGGAGGGAGAAACAGCATTGGGAACAGTGAGAATAAGATCAACTTGCAAGTGAGGATGGCCAACTGAAAGATGCTTGAAGGAAGAACTAAGGAGAAGCAAGCAGTGGAGAGAGCAACTTGCATGTGAGCCAAATGGCAGCAGGTGTTGGAAAAAATGGGACTGGAACAAAACGTCCATTAGCAGAGGTCGCTTCACCCAGGCCAGAGCTAAGGGAGTGGAAGGGAGTTAACCTAACAACTACAGTTTTCACTGCTTTACTTGTGTCTGCCATTCTTCCCAAGTGGTTTGTCCCTGCAGTTTCTCACCTAAACCTCAGACTTCCTCAGAACTCATGTGAATGAACCTCCTTTCACCAGCATGGTTATGGAGCTGTTTGACTGTACATATCCCTAATGTCCTGTCAAAACAGAATGTAGGGATTTCTCTCACACATGGCAATTTCAATCACCTTGCCTGTCAACACATTTATTCAGCAAAATAGCTGCAAATGAGATAAAAACCAGACTCTGTGTGAATACTGTGATAATTGATTTGTTTCTTCCCTTCATGCTTTTACTTACCAATTTAAAAGTCAATGTTTTCAAGGCCTTTGGATCATCTACTATCTTCTGTAAGTTAGCAGCAACTGTAAAATAAAGTATGAAAAAAATATTATTTACAGAAAATTGCATTCAACATCAAGCCTCATGTTGCATCTTCTATTTAATTCTACACACATACATGTCTGTAAATTACCACTTGAATCATTTCATCACTCTCTAGAGCTGTCATTTGAAAGTCAGAGGGCAGTTGGTCTGCCATAAATACTACCTCCTTTCTTTTTCAGTCACTGATACGTTGTGACTATGGGAACTGATTCAGGGGAAAAAAATCTGCCTGAAAACCACATGACAGGAAAAAAAAAGTAACTACTGAATTTTAAGCTTAGTCTATTCTATAAACAATTAACAATCACACAACTGCAAGTGCCAGGAAAACAGGAGATTAATGCAGCCAAGGAAAACTTGATGGCTGTCATTATTTATATATCATGTTTCTACTATAGCCAGGACCACCATCTGCATAAGCTTCCAGATGCCTGAGCTCATTGTCCCCTCTTAATTTCTGTTTCTCCTGGCTCTATGTGTGCGCTTCTGCCCCTTTTTTGGCTGGCATGAGTACCCACACAGACACTTGGATCTTGGCAAGATCTTGGTTTTACAGCTCACTACCAAAAGAAAAATGAGCAAAAATGAGAGTGATCCTCAAACTGCTTTCTCAGTAAGCATGAGAGAGATTTGCAATATAACAGCAGTAAACAGTTTAACTACGTCTACAGAGCCCGAGTGTCCAGAGAAGGAAGCTGTGTGCCGTAACAGAAACAGCAGGCAGGGAATAAGTCCTTGAAGACAGAGGAGGCAGGAAAATAATAAACCCTTTTCCTATCAAGACACTTAAGTTACATTTTCAGCTGGTCTATTATTTACAATATTGCTACCATTAATCTTGATCAAAAAATTGGCTGCTTTCAGCTTTGTACCTTTACTAAACTTGCTCCCCCCCAGCTTTGCACATAGATGTTGAGCTACCTGAAATCTTGAGCCCACTGAGAGCTTTTGGTCAAGACTGACTTACGAGCACAAAATGCCATCAACAGGACATCAGCATGAGATAAAGACTCCATGCTTGACAGGGATGTTTAGACAAGATTATAAAAAGGAAATAAACAGGTATTAAGCAGCAGACATTTTTTAGTACACTGACTAGGTAAGTACTGTAAAGCAGAGATGCAAGAAACCAGATGTTCTCCATGAATACTTCTCACAGACTTCACAGGGTGAAAGATATACAGCAAACATTCGCATGTTGAATGTCGTATTGCTACAAACTCAGGCTCCTACTTCCTCCATCTTCTAACATCACAATGAGAAAATTTTCACTCCTACCAATGCCTGATCATATATAATTTACGGTGTAGTAACAGATATTGGCCTCACAGGGGTAAGTTCAGTATTTGGCCAGGGAAGTTAAGAGAAGTAAATGATTAGGCAAATCTACCACTATCAAATGCAAAACAATTTTTTTGGGGTCTCTCTTCTCTATACCACTGAAATGGCACCAAGAATTGTTTATGCACCTGTAAAAAATTTTACCAGGGATGGAAAGGTGTTTGAAATTAAAAACAAGCCTTCAAAGGAAGCACAAGATACCTTTTGTATATAACACATTTTGGAAAAAAAAAATTAACTTTCACAGTTAACTACTGGCACTACAATAGAAATACTTTCTGTTTCTGCTTTTAAAGCTTCATTATTCATAATCTCCTTTATTCTAGTCATTACAAAGTTTTTATTTTAATCACACAATTCATTTCCACAATCAGTAAGTCAATTTTATTGCAATACATCCTCCTACCTGATGAAATACGTGCAAATACAGATAATGCTTTTCATTACAATTAATACTTAGAACCTCATATGTAGGCAAAAAGGAGTGTTCCGCCTCATAGCTCCTGAAGTCAGGATAGAAGAGCTTCAATTTTTTATGTCTTAAAAATCTATAAAACAGGATCAGGCACTCAAGAGCAGCTCCAGCTCACCCAAATCCCTGTAAAAGATGTTTTATAAAAAACTCAATAAAAAAGAAAGAACAAATTCTCTAGCTACTGTTAAGCTGGCTTCACTGAAATGGAGTCAGCGCTACAAAACCAGATAGGGGCTGGGTCCTAAACTCAAAGATTTCTAGCTTCACCAATTTTAAAATGTTGAAAGAAAGATGAGCTTCAAATGTACGCTCCTCTTCAGGAGTGGGAGCCTTTCATTTACTGTTGAGCAGCTGTGGAACAGCTAAGGCAAGTCAGCAGGCTGCTAGGCTAATTTTGCCTGAATGCAAAACCTTCCAGCTGCCCTTAAGCAAAGTTACTGGCAAAGTTATTGTTACTGCACTTACAAATAGCAGCCCATCATCAGCAAGTGTTTCAATGAACTACCATACAGTGTAAAGCAGCACTGAGGACTTAAAAAAACCCTATCTTGCCTGATGATTCTTTACCAGGGAAGAAATTAAAATCTACAAAGCAAAAAAAGCAAAAGATAAACTAGGAATGTATGTAAATGGTTAACTCTAATTACTTTTTCTAATTATTATTTAGACACCATAACAGAAAGGAGCAATATTTTAGATGGATAGCATTCTCCAAGAAAACTGCTTTTCAAGGAACAGTGCTCATTAAAAGGCTGCAGGGACACAGTTTTATTTGTTCACTTGTCTTTACATGTAATATGAATACAAGCCAAAAAACTTTTATATATAAAATGCTAGAGAAGCATCTGAAGCAAGCATATGAAATATGCTTTATTTTTGCTTCTCTGATGGGCCGTAACTAAAGCAGGCATATTTAATCAAATAGAAGATTAGGAGGATTTAAGGGAGTAATGCCAGATGTTTTCAGGCTATGCTTGAAAACGAGAAAGCAGACCTGCAAAGAGGCCGTAATATCAGAAAACAAGTTCACGTTAAAAATAGTCACACCTGCAGTTTCCTGCAGAGAGATCTGTTAAATTTCAATTATATACATTCAATACTTTTCAAATAAAACTAGTATTTCGTGCGACTTCTGGTACTCTGTGGCTTATATTTTCTGGTCTTTACAGAATGGCAGTAAAAATGCTTTTGCCAGAATAACGTCATTAATCCTGTTCAAGGCACCATGAATGCGAATCCCCCTAAAGGCACACTTTTTCTGCAAAATCAGAAAGAGTACGTAAGTAACATCAACCAAGAATCAAATACGTGAGTGCAATTAGCTACCAGAACCATACAGTCCTGTTGGTATCTTTTTATTTTTTCAACTCCTTGCTTTTGTTTTGCTAGGTCCTGTGCATTCTTACTAACATACTTCTAAAAAATGGGGACTATTACTAAACTTAAAAAGAGTTTGGACCACTAAGTATGCAAAGTCTCCTAAAAGACACAGAGGAATTCATGCCAGACGCAGGCTCACAACAGTAAACAATGTTCTTGCGTACAAGCACTTCCGGCTACTGTTCAGCCCTATTCAGAATTACTGACCGCATCAGGCAGGAAAGAAAAGCAATTCTTTTAAATTGTAACTGCTACTAGGCGTTACTGAAGAACATCTCCCCCAGCTACTAAATTTATGCTCAATTTATGCACATCAAGGAAAATGATTTACAAGGTCAAGACCCACCAACTGTCCCAGTACACAGTTCACATGCAAAGTTTTAATTTGCCTTAAAGTTTCTAAAAGCAGGTGAACTCAACCACATCTGCAAACACTAGGGAGAAAAATAACCATCCCATTCTCACCACCTCTCCCTCCCCCATGCCCCTAACAAATCTTCTATTTCAAGTCAGTGAACAAAGTCAATTTAATACAGTAATGCTCTTCCCTCAAGTGAACAGGAGTTTCACATTAGGAGTTTCCAGAGAGAGAGGAATCTTTCTCTCCACTGACACTTAAATTATCTGGAAAAGCGGTGAGCGTTGTAAATATATGTCTCTGGATTCTACTTTACGCTTTATCTCCAAGTTAAGTATACTACAGCTCCTACTGACAAAGCCGTTTTTTCTTTTAAGTACACAGGAGTCATGCCTTGGATAATGTACTTCTGAAATTCATAGCAGATTAGGTTGCCTGAAAGCAGCACTAATTGACAATGTCAAATCCTATTGGGAATTCACTTTTTCCTCAAGGCCTGGCTATAGTAGACTCAACTTTATCTTGCAGAGTGTTTTCTCAAGATGTTATGGCCATGCTCCTATAAAAGTCAGAGGAAACACGAACAAGACAACTACAAGAAAAAATTAACTGGTGATGGAAAAAGCTTTGCCAGCAATAACCTCAAGTAAAGAGAATCACAGAAGTTAGGGTTGTAAAGGACCTTAAGATCATCCAGTTCCCACCCCCCTGCCATGGGCAGGGACACCTTACCCAAGACCAGGTTGTTCAAAGTCCCTTCCAACCTGACTTTGAACACCGCCAGAGACAGAGCATTCACTTCTTTGGGCAACCTCATTCCAGTGCCTCACCACCCTCACAGTAAAGAATGTCTTCCTTGTATTTAATTTCAAAATTATATCTAACTTTCCCTGTTTAAGTTTGAACCCATTACCCCTTGTGCTACCACTACAGGCCCTAATGAACAGTCCCTCCCCAGCATCCCTGTAGGCCTCCTTCAGATACTGGAGGTCCCCATGTGCCTTTTCTCCAGGCTGAACAGCCCCAACTTTCTCAGCCTATCTTCATACAGGAGGTGCTCCAGCCCCCTGATCATCCTCGTGGCCCTCCTCTGGACATGTTCCAACAGTTCCATGTCCTTTTTATGCTGAGGGCACCAGAACTGCACACAATACTCCAAGCGAGGTCCCACGAGAGCAGAGTAGAGGGGCAGGATCACCTCCTTTGACCTGCTGGCCACGCTCCTTTTGATGCAGCCCAGGATACGGTAGGCTTTCTGGGCTGTGAACGCACACTGAAGCCAGCTCATGTTAAGTTTCTCATCAACCAACACCCCCAAGTCCTTCTCTTCAGAGCTGCTCTGAATCTCTTCTCCACCCAACCTGTAGCTGTGCCTGGGATTGCTCCAACCCAGGTGTAGGACCTTGCACTTGGCATGGTTAAAC